GATCGAGTTATTAATTCGCGCGGACATTATTCGCCAGCCCTGGAGGCTCGTTCCATCGGAATCGTGAAAATTCTATATTTGCTTGTCAACAATGGCGAACGGTTGGTTACACCCTCCCACCTGCCCCCCTGTCGCCCCTCTGTAAATCCTGACGCCGCGGCCCATTAATGCCGGGCGTCTCTTGCTCGCCGGAACGTCCTGTGCTCGCGAACAATCGGCCCGCTTGCACGCTCGCTCGCTCGCGAGAGAGGCTGCAGTAATGAATTTTCGGATTTACGCGGCGCACCGGTGCACAAGTCCGACGCATTTCCCGCCAACCAGCGGTTAGACCTTTATCCCCGTGCGACATTTGGCCGGGGGCCACAATTTTCATCGTGATAATCGTCCTCGTTCTATACCGAGCTCTCTCTCTCTCTCTTTTTTTACGCCTCTTTCATCCTCCCTCCCGTCTCGAAAGAAGGGGAAGCGGAAAAATGAAATGAAATTGCCACTCGCACGGGGACGAGGTAGTATTCGAGGAAGTTTGTATTCTTCTTTTTTTTTTTTTTTTTTTTGTCTCTTTGGAGAGAGGAAATTTATTATATATTTCAGAGGCTTTTTTTTGTGTTTCGTTAATAGACTGCGGATTTCCGTGCGTTTATTTAGGAAGTTTCAAAGCGAAGTAGTAGTATATAGAATGAAATATTCGAGATATGGACGATTTTCTGTACCGTGGACGGTGACGAGTATTACCGGTTTGTTAGGACGGGATTAATTGGACTTTGGGGTGAGCAGAGTTCTAGGTATCGATTGTAACGATATCTGCTCGAGGTGAGGAAATTAGTATGGATGGTGTATAGTGGAATCGAACGGTTTGCGGTCGACATTCGGGTAAATGGTCCAGCGTTCTATGTACCTACTGTGATTGTTGTATCAATATTCGTTCTGTAATACTAAATAGATAGTTAGATAGTATAGATAATTCTACGAAAAATCATAGTCAACGTCGAAACACATTTTCTACTCGATGAAGTGTGTTCGTGTCTTCAAAAATAGAGACGATGGTTTCCAAAAATCAACCTGCAGTTCATTTTTATTAAGAATGTCAATTCTCAATGCACCTTGCGCGTCGGTCGTTCGAAATCCGAGCATCAACGAGAGAGAAGATTCGCTCGAATGGACATTGCGATCGACAAACGTCACAACCGCGCGTCGCAGCTTTTTATCGTTGTCGTTGCTCGTTATTTTTCGCGCGTTCCAACGGGAAGCAACCGGTCATCCGAATGAATCGGCGAGGAAGGGAGGGAGGGGTGGGGGAGGGGGACAAAAAAGAAAGAAAAAAGAAAAAAGAAAAAAAAACAAGGAAATAAAAATCCGCCTCTCACGCCGAAAAAAATTGTCAGAATTTATACCCGATGGCGGTAGATACCTTCAATATCCGGGCGGCGGAGATAGGAATCGTGCAACGGGTAAATGAGAAGCGTCGGCGGACGAATGAACGAATGGGGAAAAATAAAACCGAAAAAAGACACATTGGAGCGTGCGTATCTACATATATGTATATATTCGCGAGAGAACGAGAAAGGATGAAGGAGAGAGAGAGTGAGAGAGAGAGGGAGAGGAGGGAGGGAAAATTTTCGGCAACGTGACGCAGAGCGAGTAGCGAATCGAAGCGCGACTAAAAGAGAATTTTCATCGGTTTTCGATAATGGATCTCGATCGACTGGCCGATAGGGTCCGGTAGAATCGTAGGCACCGCTAGTTCTCCCTCTCCCTCCCTCCCTCCC